ACGATGTGTTCGACCAACGCTATAATATAACAATGTCTTTAATTTAAAAGCGTGCCGAACCAGTTTTTCCACCTGTTAATTTGAAAATAAAAAATTATTTGCAGAAGAAAATGGAATTGTCTAATTATGACTTGCCTAGTTTAATAAGCGAGGTCAATGGCAGAGTTCTAATTCAAATTTTCGGCACGCAAACTTTGACATTACACGGACGGCCCACATGCAAGTTCATACCTGTACCAAAAAAGTGTGGGCCAGATGTCCAAATCTGCATTTACGAATAAGTACCAAATTGTGTAAATCAGTTCGTTAGGATTTGTTTTTCTTAAAATTACTTACAACATTGAAAATCGAAGAGTCATTAATTCTGGGGTTACTCATCTCTTATAATTGCAGGTGTGTAATTTGGACAAGCAATAATCCCAACATTCCCCAACATAAGAAAGTTCGAACACACAAAGTCCACGGTAAATTTATTCCAGCACAAAGTGAAAAATAATGAAAATATTCAAATACTTCACCCTCAATATCTTGTTTGAGTTTCCGTTTTTAGAATACCTTATAACGGGATTGGATTTTTTTTTAATTGAGATTTATATTGGTATTTCGTGGTGTATTCTGCAATTTTCCCCGTGTGTAGGAACGGGAAAGAATAACTGTATACCGCAGAGGGCACGACTTAACAACAGCAAATCAACCGCAACCCTAGCACTGGAGTTTGGAGACAAGGTTTTGGACTTCTATTTTTACCGATTATGATTTATTTTTAGACGATAGTAATCTTACACATGGTAGTACCAGGGGGCGAGCACTGGGACTATTTTCCATCTTTGGAACCGTGTAGCGAGGGGGCACTCATGATATTTGAAGATCCTGATACCGTGGGCGATGTAGTGACAGTTTAAAGATAGACGATTGAGTTTTATAATGACGTGCACCATGGTTTTAGGTTCCCTATGTAGATTCTTGAAACCGTGTAGCTTCTTGGCAATCGAAGTAAAGTTTGGGTGGCATGTTTTAAGTGCAGAACTTCTTCACTGGGTATCTATGGAAGTAGAGTCCCTACAGCTTTTTGTTTGCAAGGCTAGAGTTGGGTTCTTTCCAAAATGCCGCATGTCACTTTTCCTTCTTCAATTAGACGCGGTCCGATATATTAACAAGGATACGACCATTTATGTAGGTATTCCTTATTAGTTCGGTAATTGAAGTTTGGTTAATCAGGTGATTTCCAGAATGTAAAGTATCTTAATAGGTTTGGTTATGTTACGTGGGAGTGTGTTGCTTAAATACGATACAGTCCTATACTCTATTGCATTTTTCATAAGGGGAGCACGACCAGACAGCACTTAGGCGCATCGAAGGCCCCTTGTTCCCATCCCCATTCTTTCGCAACTAGGTTCAGAGTACGCTCCTGGCCTCCTCTGCCTGTACAGCTAAGTGTAAATTCTCTAGTCCCAGAAGTTCCGCCATTGGCGTCGTTTTCATGGCTATAGTGGCTCCCAGACAGGCAAGCCAATATACCAGTCGAGTACGAGTACTACAGATGTACTGTCAAAAGCCCTCCTAATTATACCAGCTCCTTAGAAGAAACGATGATAGGCTGATGGGCCTGTAATTCTTCGCCATGTCATTTTTGACACGACCCGGCTTAGATAAGCATACAACTCTTACCTGGGGATATACCCTAAAGCTAAGCAGGCTCTAAAGAGGCGCAAATGTAAGAGCTGCGGTTTCAAGCCTTTCTGCAGAATATCAGGTCTGCCCTCTTAAATGGGTTGAACGTGTTGACTGATCTCAGAGATCCATCGGTAACCACCCGGGCATCTACCTTCCAGTTGATGGGTCTTACACCGGCCCGGACCCAGGTAGTCCCTTTTGGTGGGTCCGAAGCTGCGTAATCTCCTGGATAGTGTGTTTCCAGGAGAGATGCGAGAACCTCGTTTAGACCTTCGAATATGGTCTTTATATCTGCGCCGAGCGATCTTGAGAACTATCCAGTCCGCAGGCAGGTTAGTTCGCATGGCCCTATTAAAGGGCCCGCCGACCTCCTTACAAACCAGTTAAAGCCTGAGTCCAAGGTGTTCTCTTCGTTCCTCAAAACGTCCGCGGTTTACAGCTTGTCCTCATAGACACTGTTATACCACAGCTAACGGATGTCTCTTACCTTCCACCTGCCGTGCTTTCCGGCAGAGCAAAGGTGGCCCATAACCGATGTAAGTGGATCGGGAATTCCGAAACCTACGAGGCTCGACTGGAATGTCAGATTTAGTTGGAAAAGAATGTGGTGCGAAAGCGACGGCTCATCAGACAACCTCCAACTCGTGATCATGTGAGATCTAGTGTGAGATATTGCAAAGGAGCCCAACGTCAGAGTCGGTAAACTCCTGCGCTGTGATAAAGTCAGAGCCTGCTACCTGAACATTCATATCAGTTGTTTGCAAGTACTCTAGAAGGTGGTCGCCCCTCAAGTTCGTGTCCGTGCTACCCCACGCAACATGGTGTGCCTTTGCATCACAGCCAACTACAAGAGCGAGCCCTTCAATTCAACAGTACTATATCAACTCAGTTAGCTCCCTGGTAGGTGGAATCTCTTCCGAGTCGCACGGGAGACAGGCTGAGCAGACCACCAAGTGCCTGCTCCGTCCCCTGCCATCTTTAAAGCTGAAGTTTAGAGCTACGAGATACCTGAAACAGATATCAGTCATTAGATAAGACTTGATTTGTCTATCGAGTTATCGACATAAATGCAAGTCCTAGGGTTCAGTTGCCTGTCCCTCTTTATTATAATAAAGAGATTCCTCGACATTACCCAGTCGTTTTACGCGTCCTCTGTAAACCCAAGATTCTTGTATGACGCATACACCTGTCTGCTTTACAACAAGTTGACGGCCTATTACACAGGTCGCCCCCTTACTGTGCTGCAAATTGCTCTATAAGGAGATGTTACCTCGCCCATCACTGATGTACTAGGTACCCCCTCCTTTAGTCATGCCGATTGTTCCGAACCCTGTAACTATCCGTTATAACTACGAATCTTGCATAACCCGACGCAGGTCTGGAGGGCGCGGCTTTTCATTGCAACTGGTCCTTAGTCCTTTTTCTTTTATATTGCTCCGGTTGTATTTAGAACTCTGCGCGCATTAAAAATAATATGACAGCGCATATAAAGAAGAAGCTCGCTTTTTATGTTGCAACCAAACCTACGAGACGAATACTGGAGCAGTAGATACTCTTCCCTCTCAGAACCTAAACTCTGTTCCTTCCGTTCCCATCCTTAACTTTACCGATCCTTACATTCCCGTTCTCTGGGTCAGGAAACCCTAAAAAGTCACCTCCGGTATCTCTCGGAGGTGGAATGAAACGAGTTTTCCCACTGAGGCTGTTGGATTAAAAAGAACTTTCTGATTTCCCTCTGGATAAAATTTTAAAAGAACTTATCGCATTTGACCTATCATTTAAAATACGAATTGTTAGTGTAACGTGTAACAATTAAATTGCATATAGACGTACAAATACGTTTTAAAGAGCATACCTGGAGTTTGATTTATGTCTCTCTCCCTTTCCTTCACGTCTCCTAGATACCATCAAGTCTTCTTCACGCCTCCTTCACTATTTTTTATAGATTTCACATTCTTTCATCCTCCAGTGACAAACCTGCCTTACCCATTGACCCCATTGTTATCTCTTTTTGGCCCAGCAACCCCCACTTAAAACTCCTTTAACGGCTTTAACCATTCATAGTTCACCGTTGTAATACCGGTTCGTAATACTAGATACTCACTTGCTCTCTAACCCGAATACCATGTGCTAGAACAGCAAAGATGTATAACCTCATGCGCGGCATTAATATAAGCGCTAATTCTATATGCAAACTTCATTTTACGGACTATACCTTCATAGTCTAAGGACTATACCTACTAAACTGTCGTGTCCTTGCGCAGAACCTAGCACCATTGTACGAGTAATTACCTACGCCTCTGAATAATCTGGAATTGACAAGGCGTATTTTCCCAGTTCCTATTTATTGATAAGTCCACGAATTGGTGTAATTAATATTTTATCATGAGATGAATAGCGATTTTCAGAAAAAAAGCAATCGAAGACATGGAAACATAAAGGGCCAGGGGGCGAATATATTTTGAGGTGCAGGACCGATTACCGTAGTTATTTTAAAAAAATCTCGGATCAATACTACTATCAGTACTATCTATCCAATAAAAGCAGTTTGAGGAACGGACTGACATCAGACACACAATAAAGTACCTACTTATACAAAAATCTACTTTTCCATTTCGTAAAATAAGCTAAAAACTGACGTAACCCTACGATCATTTTAAACTAAAATAGGTACCTACATAACTGTAATAATAGATTTGCTACCATAATTATACCATATACCATTTGGTTAATAACAAGTCTTGACGGATGTCTGTTAAGAAACAGTAATTAACGTTAATCTTCATAACACTTTCGAACATTATAGTAGGATGCAATTATACCAGGGATACCAAATACAAACTTCTGAACAGGCCTAGCTTGCTTGATGGAACGAAAATACACACCGAGTGAAAGAATTTCAGTTTAAAAGGGACAACTCTGAGTGGCTTATGGCGTTTTTTCAAAGACAATTGTAGATCTTGGGTAATTAAAAGCATATTACCTGCATATATTGCATGATTTGTACCATAACAGTTATTATAAAGATACTAGATAGTACCTATGCAATTAGTTTTTTAGTGATATTGTTATGTTGTGTTCATTTCTTCAGAAACGCCATTAAACTTTACCACTATAATGGTAGATGTCATTAATGGGATGGAATATAAATGAGAACAGGACTGGAAAGTTAGTTAATTATCCTTGCTAAATATAATAAAATTTTTAGATTACCCATATGAAGTAATAGCTCTTTTAATACCATAAAATAATTTCATACTTGCATAATAATTATTTGTAGTAAAATTACGTGTCGCCTATTATAATTTGGAATCAACTATTTTCAGGCATTTGCTCTGACATCGCAAGTAATTGGAATCGTTCGATCACCCACGACCTCCAACAGCGAGGAACCCCCCGAGGGATACTATGCATTCGTTGAATCACCAAACGCCGAACCTCCACGCGTTCGACCACCACCATATACTTACCCACCAGTCGACTGCAAGGAAGATAATGACAAATCTCCGCATTCGTTGTATTACAACATATGCGGAGATTTAAATAAGGGAAGCATCCCGAGAAACCCGATGGGACAAAACGTGTTTGGTTCTCCTTATCCATTGTAAAAAAATCTAATACTGGTTGAACCCTCAGTATAACAATAATTGTTGCAGTGAATTAATTCGAAATCAAACGTTGAAGTTCTTAAGCAGGACACTACCAATTTTAAAGGGTGACGAAACTTTGCCCAAAGTTGCGCAATACCAAGACGACTTCATTTCGCACAACACGTAAGTCGAAGGCTTCAAAATTACCTCTTATTTGTAGACTTAATTGTGCAGAATTAATGATTCCTATGACAAGAAAGAACGGTCCAAACGAGACGTGACGGAGGTGGCGAGTAACGCAACTTATGCCAATAAAACTGCTAGTTCACGTCAGGCACGTAAGTTCTGTGACCAAGGTGGAGTTTTTTGCATGCTATATAAGGCGATTAATGGAGAAATGCCTCCTGCCAAGTCATCGCCGCAGTTACCGCTGGAAAGGCGCGACGACGTTGCCGCGACGCACTACGAAGGACCACCGACGCCATGCCCCGCGAAAGTCGAATACGCGACTCCCGTTTTCGCCAAGAATTACCAAGGCATCTGGAGATACGTGGTTCAAATTCCATACGAGGGATATTTCACGCAAACGATTGAGGTCACAAGGTAATGCTGAGCTCGTTTCCATTCAGAGGTTTCATTGAGTTTTACAGGTGCCTACAGTCGAGGTGCCACTACCTTGACGGTGGATGTCTCTCGTCGCCACGTTGGTCGAGTCTTCTAGTTGCAGAAATTTACTATCCGGACGCCGTGCTAAGCGGCAACGATGCGGCGTATCCACAAAGAAGCCCCGTTTCGCCGTCCCAGCCTCCTTCAGTGCAAGATTTCCAGGTTTGTAAAACATACCTTGGTACTGAAAGCCTAATTATACTTTTTAAGAACTACCAACAGTACCTCCACAAGAGAGCGGGAGTACAACCCGGTTCTATCGAGACGCAGACCACTGTGAGACCAGCACACTGCGACGGGATTGATTCGTTGGGATGCTTCCAAGTACGCTTGTACTACGACTGGTTCCTCGTTCCCGGTTCGTGCAAGTGCTGGAGGCCGGATTACTTTAATAAATACTCGAGAAGGAAATCAGATCTTTGAATAAGTAGTTATAGGTACCTTGTGGAGACTGTATAATTTGCTATTGATCTACGGCCGGAAGTACCTGTGTAACATAGGGCAGCCTAGATGATAAATAATGTATAATATTGTAAACAATTACGGAATGATAGAACTACAACTTACCACTAATAAAATATTGGATAAAAACAACATAATTCCGAAAATGAATTCTATTGTTTTTCTTCGACCGAAAATAATTAATGTGGAGGAGGTGTTTTGGTTATTGTTAATTGTACTATATTTTGTTTAAATAAATATTTTATGATTGATTTGCCTCTTGATTTAGAACGCTCACAAGCTCAGTGTACCATGAAAATAGTGTAATTGTTTATAACGAGAATCCTAGCATATTTGGGGGGATTATGCAACTTCAATACTGGCGTGACTTTTAATAGTACCACATTATATACCTACCAAGGTAGAGACATGATTTCCTGATCATTCAAGATTACATCTCGAGCCGCTTGTTTCCAGCTTTTGTTTTCTTTTGTGTATGCCGGACATCGTTTTATTCGGAAAAAAAATGCTACTCAACATAGTATCTACTTCTACGGGTTATATGAAAAGATAAAGTTGATAATGATTTCTCCGAAATGAAACATGTCAACGTCTCTTGTAAAACTCAATAACTGACAATGAGAAAATGTTTTTTTTGTATCTGCTTAAATAACATCAGAAAAAAATAAAAACTAAATCAACAAATTTCTTGTCCCTAATTTGACTACCTTCATATCTTCTATGGTTTCCGAAATCCCCATGATTAGCGTCTGCGTAACTACCACTGTCTAGCAGGGGGCGCGTCCCCCCTGCGCCCCCTTTAAATCCGCGCCTGGCATTGAATAAAAATTTTTTTATCCAATGGTGGAAGTAAAAGTCAAGCAAGCCGTATTTTGTTCTGTCATTGAGATATTTTTAACGAGTAATTTCGTTAGAATTTTTTGGAAATGGAATAATTTTAAGTAAGTAAGCAATAATTTCTCTGAAAATGACGGATGGTGGCAATTATTCATTTTAGAGAACTTCTCTAAACGTTTTTTGAGCAAAATTTCGGTTTGTAATTTCTAAAACTGACAGCGTAACAGTTCTCATTATTAACTACTAGTAATTAATATGACCATATTATTAACCACTTTAAACAACTGCCAAGAACGCCTAATCGCCCAATCGCTCTTTGTGAATCCTCCAACATTCAGCTTTCCAATATTCTCACAATATGTTTTGACATTCCCAATAATAGGTCTACGATATGAGAAATTATAACCGATTTCCCTAACGGGGAAGAAACGGTTATTGGAGTCATACAAGGCAATCAATAAATCCTTACTTAAAAATCCGATACAACTGAATACCGAACGATCCTCGAGATCTTCACACATACATAATTTTTATAATACACCTTAAGGGGTTGATTCTGTCCCACCAGATCAGCATGGCTTGTAAAACGAACTTTTGAATCGGCATTATTTTGCATGCGCAAAACAAATTTTTTGATTCGGTACTAGTTTTACTTTTATTCGAGGTGCCTACATACAAAATTTCATCTAAATATCTTAACAAATAAAAAAAACGACTGCGCATGCGCAAAACAAATTTTTTGATTCGGCTCTGGTTTTACTTTTATTTGAGGTGCCTACATATAAAATTTCATGCAATTCGATTCACAACTAACGGAGATGTACTCTTTGGTATACCAAACAAACATTTTTACATCTCAAAACAAACGTTTGGAGCAGGTGTATCAATAAATAACTAGCATTTTATGCAAAATGTATAATAACAAATTGTGACATGAAATTCAGATTTATGATTAGTATCAGAAAAAAATAAATTGATTATGCTTTTTGGTAATGAAGGTGTAAGTATACACTTCATCTTTGATATATCCCCACAAGAAAAATCACAGCGGATGATATTCAGAGATCTGGAGGCCAATTGCAAAGAGCGTCATCAATTTTACCAGTACACAAGACAAGACAAACCACCGTAAACAAAACTTTCCAATGGTACGAACACGAAGTGAAGTGGTCTTAAAGGTACATTAAATGTTACTGGATTAATATTAAATCCAGTAACATTATAAAGCGGAATCAGGAAGATCATTTGCAATTACCCTGTGTTTTGAGCAGTTGCTGGTACTTTAGATACCAAATACTATTGTATTTGTCATTTTATCTTAACCTCAAATAATTTTTAAATTTGTACTCGACTCGTAGAAATTTGTAAATGTGCCTTATAAGAAAGTTAATAGTAAATATTGATTGATAACAGTTGAATGATTGTACCTACATACGGTTATTGACCAATTTTATGAAACATTAATCTTTGTTTATATTTGATAAGTGATAACCCTACTAACTGCCCTTGTTTCCCGGCTACAGTGATAAATTAAATAATTGTCTCCTTTTTACGGACAGTGTTTATTAATTCATTTCACTATTGTAAATCGTGCACGTCTAATTGCGGTAAATACTAGTACACACCATGAAAGTTAAGGTAAGCCAACTTGATTTCTTGTAGTAGGTAAGAGTTTGTTCGTAGATTGGAATTATTGGTGGATCTGGATTAGATAATCCAGATATTTTAAAAAATCGCACGGAGAAGACTATCACGACGATCTTTGGTTCTCCTTCGGATGCATTGATCGAAGGTGAGATAGAGGGTGTGCCCTGTGTTTTGTTAGCACGTCATGGTCGTAAACATACGATTATGCCGGGAAATGTGAATTATCGTGCAAATGTGTGGGCCCTAAAAGAAGCTGGTTGTACACATTTGGTTGTTACAACCGCCACCGGTTCTCTACAGGAACATATAAATCGAGGTGATTTCGTCATTCTGGATAGCTTTATTGACCGGTGAGGCAGATCTGTTAGTGAGAAAAGTCTGTAAATCAAATTTTGTAGAACACAGAGTAGAAAGCAGACATTTTATGATGGTGAACCGAATTCCCCAGTCGGAGTGTGCCATATCCAAATGGAGCCCGCATTTTGTCAACGTACAAGACAGATTATTATAGAGGCAGCGAAAGAGTTAGGGTTGCCTTTCCATGAAACAGGAACTGTAGTTGCAATAGAGGGACCAAGGTTTTCCAGCAAAGCCGAAAGTTTAATGTTTCGTCAATGGGGCGGACATGTCATCAACATGACTACTGTCCCTGAGGTAGGTAATAATCACGCTAGAGAAATGGAAACAAAAATAACAAGAAACCACAATAATCCTTTAATTATCAGCAAAGAACTAAAGAGAAAGTAGAAATCATTATTAATTAGGAAGGATTTGTTCAAAACTTTCATGAGATTTACTCTTACTTCGCTATTAGTATAGGTACAGGGTTTTTTTTTTGGAGACCTTTAGTTAAACGTTTCTGGGAAAGAAATATCGAAAGTAGCTAGTAATTTAGTTTTTTTTAAATGGAAATCCCCTCTTTTTATTGAATTTTTGGATTCTATGTGAAATTTCAGTTCTTTTGACCCCCACATGTCAATATCTACAGCTTATGGTTTTTAAGTTATTTTGACTTAAAAAAAAAAGTTGAGGATGCAGTCGGTACCTTGAAAGCCATGAAAATTGATTACCTACTTAAAAACAGTTGTAATTTATATTTGGGAAAGTGAGATCTATTTTTCTACCCATTGTGATAAGCAGAGCAAAATTTATCGGAGGTCATCTGAAAAAAAAAGGTACACATAAAATAAAGCAAGTTTGTTATAAAGGGTGTTTTATGACGAATGTCGGTTATCTATGTTCTGGTCTGTATCTCAAAACTGAAACATCCTTTTTGATATATTTTAATTTTTACATCATAATTGTCATTTTTTGTATTTAAGAGTTTTTATTTAATTGGAGATGGTTTATTTTTCAAGTGGTTCCGCTTTAGCATTCAACTTGGCACTTATGCTGTAGGTATAGGAGATTGTACAGTAATTGATAAAAGTAATGATCACCTAATAGGCAAACTCTACAGCATAAGCAACCAAAACATGCGCACAACGCACCCGAAAAGTGGATTTTTTAAAGGAGGAATGAGTTCAAAATCAATAGGCTTCATCTACAAGACACTGTACACAATATTCACTAATAAAACGTAGGTATAAGTTTTGTATACCAGAGACTCTTAACATGCTAACAAGAAACAGTCAGACAACGACACTGTAACATGATTTTTGCAAAAACTATTTCTGTTGTGTATTTCTCAACGAGACATCACAACAATTTTTTTTTCAAATTATTGTACACGTTTAATTTTACAGTTAGTACAAATAGAATGGGATTTGTTTCTTCTTTGGTCGCTTGCTAATGATTAGTTTTATTGTGGTGACTTGGTGTTTTGATTTCAGTTTTTGTTACTTCAACCGCTACTAAATTTCTAGTATTTCATCATTTGCATTGACATACATTTTTAGGTGGTCCTAGCTAAAGAGGCTGGCCTTTGTTATGCCGCCATTGCCTTGGCTACGGATTACGACTGCTGGAAGGTGACAGGTGAAAAGGTGTGCGTAGGAGATGTCATGGCAACATTTCAGCAGTCGGTACCAAAAGTTATCAATTTAATCACAAAGGTTGTACCTAGGATTAATGCTCAAAATTGGGACACAACAATTAATGAATTGAAGGAAACTTCTGAGAACAGTGTAATGCTGCCACATTAGAAATATTTACTATGTATTTGGTGGGGAAAAATTGGTGGTGTACAGGTTTTTTTATGGAAGGAATGAAGGTCAACATCTATTATAAGTGATTTTCTGTCCATTTATTGTGATTAACTGTAGGGGAATAAACATCCCAACAATTTTCTATTCTGCAAAATTATTATATCACTTGAACAGTCACTTATGTTATTCACATGGTGAATCATATGTGAGAAAATTCCATTATTAAAATGTTATGAAATGAAATATATTTTGTATCATTTGGTGTGTTTAATGCTTGGTTTAATGTTTATATGATCTATTATACAATTACCTATATAGTCTCCAATTTGGATCTCCATGGTGGATAGTATCTGAAGACGGCATTCAAGAAAAACAACGAAGAGAAAGAAAATGGTAAATAGAGGAAGGAAAAGTTTGAAAATCCACGACTGGATAAGTGAAACAAGATGGGGGAGCAGGGATAGGAAAATTGTGATGATGCAAAGTTTTTTATACAGTAGTAAAAAAAAGAGAGAAAAGTGGGATTTATGTTGGCAAGGAACTTTCCAGGTGTGTAACCAAAGTGATTTGTGGCTGTGATAGAGTGAAGGCTCTAAAGATTAACACTGTGCCAAAGATATGTTAGTGCATGGAAGAACATAGCTTACAAAAGCATTGAATGATATCCTTTTATGAAATCTAGCATGCAGTGTGCTGTCAGGATGCATAGTGCCTGTTGAATTACACAGGGAGGTAAATGTTCAAAACGGAACATTGAACAAGGTCTTTTCTGTGCAATATGGTACACGGCATGCTGGATTTCATAGATTGTCCAAATATTGAATGCTTCTTTGACATTAAAATGTAGGTAAGTATTATGCTTTGTGGACGTGGACTATTTTGAAAAAAGTTAAGAAAAGAATTGAAGGTATATGGAAATGTGGATGTGGAGAGAATGCTTGGAATAAAGTGGTCTCTGAGAGAATTAGCAACAAACTAGAAAGAATAGGAGAAGGAGGAAAGGTAGAAAACAATTTTGACAAGTAAAAGAATGTGGCTGGGTCAATTGCTAAGAGGGAATGGTTTGCTGAAGGAATAGATCGAAGGAGCAGTGGAGGGTTAGAGGAAAAGAGGAAGAAGGGTAGTGAAGATGGTTAACGATTTGAAAGAGGGGAGACGATACGCGGATATGAAAAGAAACGCAATGGATAGAGAAGTGCAAAATAGAGCCACATATAGCAGATTTCATGTGTTACCTAATGGAGACATGGAATTATTGCCATAAGAAATACATTGTAAACTTCGAGGCAAAAATGCAAGGTAGATTCCCAAATGAAATACCTACTAAGTGTTTAAGCATCGCTGATTTTATAATTTTTTTTCTATCGAATGACATAAGAAAAATCAAATACGGCGTCCATAAGAAATAAGAAAGTTGATGTGATTTACTCGAGACTCACAAAAATATTGTTTTAGAGCACTGTCAGAGCTGAGAAAAAATCACTAGGGGTTTGTGGAAATTATTTTTTGGTATGTTTGAAAATAAACGAACGCCAGCGCATTTTCCAAAATTACATTTTTCGCTTTTTGCCCATAACTTCGTTATTTGTACAGTCTGAATGGAAAATTTAATCTCTACAAAAAATTCTGGCATTCTTTGCCCATTTAAGCAACTATGTATTTCTTACGGTTACGAGATCCCCATACTAAACCTAGGAAAAAACCCACCCTGTATAAATCACTTCCAAAAAACACTCTAACTTTCGTAATTAACAGCCGATTTCGACTAAACTTTAAGGGTTGGTGTAACTCATAAATATCTCGGCCAAATTGGTGAAACAGCCAATTCCGCCATATTGGGACAAAATGGCGGACACTAAAGAAATCCAACTATACCTACTTTTTTACTATTCTGATGGGCTGCGTCAGATCCACGATTCTATGTTAAGGGCTTATGTGGTCAAAGAGATGTGGTGGAGGTACTCAATAGGGTGCAAGGTATCTTAGGTATCCCTCCTTATGCTAATCTTCCGCGCTTAAGTAAATCCCGAAATCCCCTATTGGGCTCCCCTATCAAGTAAAGATAACTGGGAACGTTAATTGTGGATCAATAAAGTTATTTATAGCATATCAATTTGCAAGTCTTTACCTTCCGAGTTACCTACCTTCCCAACTCATAGATTTTGATATTTTATACTAAATATTAACTAACCCCAAATTTAGTTATAAATTTTAGAATCAACATGGTTTTATGAATTGTCCCATCTTATGAGTTCGGTGGGGCTAAAATTATAGGATGAAATATCTTACGAACAAAAATTTATTGCAATGTTTTCTATGGCGATCGATTTCGATATAAATACCCGAAATCGATCGCCATAGAAAACATACACCACCATGCGTGGTGCAAAGAGGTTTTATTTCTCGCTGTATTTAATGACATTATGGTGGGTGGACCGGTGAATTGCTTATAAAAGCGCTTCGCATAAAATTTAAAATACCCGCCAAAGTTACTAAATTAAATCAAAGATTAAATTAAAATGTTAAAAAGAGCAGGAAATTTTAATGTAAACACGACTCCGGTGTGTAGGTGGTAGCCTCATTACAAAGCTCGTCTTACATAAATTAGAATAGAATTACCGTCCTTGCAAAGTTGAGCTGTGAGTATTTCCATAAACTGCTTTACTACCTACTTCACGAATTACGGAGTTTCCCTTATTTTGTGATACTATGAGCTCTTTTTCTGTCGTTTATTGCCGCTTTGTTATGTTTGCGTTTTTTATTAGCCCTTATATAGAATTTGTGCCTATTAAGTTGATCTCCAGTTCAAATGAGGACCCTAATATTAAGATTTAGTAACGATAAAAACTCCTTGAGGCTAATAAAATTTACATTTATACCTAGGCGGAGGTAGGTCATGCTTCAGAAACCTTTGGAGGGATTTTCTTGTATATTAATTTCTTGGTAGGAATATGTTGTACTTGATATAATTAGTCAATAATGAACAAAAATTGAATAGGAAACAATTTAACTTCATCCAACTACAAAAAAATCCATTGAAATTCGCACAAAAGATAATATCAGGCCGACCAGTTGCTCGTGATGGGATAGCTAAACAGATTAATTAAAGTTCGTTCATTGAAAAACTGATGACAACCCGGCGCACTGCGGAAATCTTGTTCGCATGTGGTGAGGCTACTCTAGCAACTCGAGTCATTGGTAAGGTCATCATTTAACCGATCACGATGCCTATTATCCGCTTCCCCCTTTTATTTTTTTCGTTTTTAATATCAAAGAACAAAATTAATTAATTTTTATCTAACTGTGCTAAAGTGGGTTATAGGTGTTTTATAATAGATTGGCAATCAAGTAATTTGCTATGTTACTGCGAGCATTTTATGGCTCTACATTTAAATGCATCGTCAGACCGCACGTCAGAAATTTAATATTCTCGTCCCTGCAATTTCGAATAGTCATTAGTATTCAGAATGGGCGAATGTCATGAGAAAATTGCAGAGCATAGGTAACCGGTCACAGCAAGGTGATGATTGTGGGAATAATCCGCATTTTGTGTTCTAATGGTTGTAATCGGCAAAAAAATGCATAGGTACCTACGTGATAACAGTCGTTGCGAAATGTTGCTTGAAAATGTACTAAGAAAAATTAGTTTTTATTCAAACATCACATAATATTGACATTACGTAACTCGGCAGTTAATTTTGACTTTTTAGAATAAGGCAATAAAGGGTACTAACATGTTCTTATCATCGAAAAGGAAAATATCAATGAGCCCAATGAAAACGTGCACTGCCATTTAAAAAAATTCGTTACCTACTCACTTGATTTTCTTTTGTTTTCTGAAATCAAAACAACTGAATGCTGCCGTTTTATGTGAAATAATATGTCAAACAGAGAAAAATTTTGTATACCTACAGTCGATATTTACAGAGATATATACTATATATTCCATACATAATGGGCACCGTGTATACTGTATAATAATACTTCATGGCCGACTTTAATTATAATAATTTCCCAAACGGCAAGTAATAGTAGCATATCAACCATTTTAATTGTTTAATAACTCAACAATGGTTTAAGGTAGAGGTATGGTGTGGTATATCTTTGAATTCAGAAAAATATGGACATTACGAAAATAAAATAAAATACAGGGTGTTCTATTTAAAACATATATCTATATTATTTTGTTATCGCTTAGCTATCCATGGTGCGTTACTGTATTTTTTGGTATATAGTAAGATGACTCGTTGTCATTCCTACAACTTTTATATTTAATCTATCTATCTCAGTATCAATGTACTTTCATTCATGGTCAACACCCACTACTACCAAAATAAATCATCTTTGCATTAATAAATTAATAAATGATCAGATATAGCTGTTTTTATTCTAATTTCTTAGACTTTTCTCACTGGCATGAGTAAGTTGAAAATTGGGCGCTTAAATAGGCGTCCACTATAATAGTCAAAATTCACAATCAGTCACAATGTTATTTTAAAAGTAACACCTGTATATCTTTGCGTCAATTTTTTACCTTCTTTTTCCCGATTACATTGATGTATCATAAGTAACCCATATATTTAGCCATGAAAATCAATAAAAATCCTTCCTGTTTTTAAGTAGTAGGCCATGGATTCATCGAGATTTTGTTTTGTTTATTGTATCCATAGTAACTAGCCGATACTGCATAAAACTGTGCTGCCGTTCTCTATTTGTGCGTACATACCTAACGTATTTTAAATGACAGTTTTTTGTCTTCGGAATTCGGACACCTAGTTTCTTTAAATGATTGAAGCTTCCTTTTGTATGAAACTGGGAAAGCGATCAAATATAATAGTTTCTCACAAGAAAATAATACAGTGCTTTATTTAATTAAATTAAAAATTACTTCTTACAAAATTAAACTTGAGATCCCTATTTAATTCTAATTCATACGAACAAATAGCGTCGATAATGAAAGTACAAGTATTCCACAACATAAACATAAGCATCTTACATTTAATGAAGAACTCACCAGTATAGGAAGAGGACTCTGTTCCGGTGTTTCTAGCGATTCACTCTAAAACGATTGCTTGAGGAGTCAAAATACTTGCATTCCGATCCACGATCGACTGCGTTAATTAACGTGTTGCAATTCCTGAAAGAGAAGGCACAGTTACATTTATAACACCACTAGGGGTAGGGAATGCAATACTTTATACTGCAGCAAAATCTCAATCCCGGTATTTGCGGGATCGTTAGATGTTAATCCCGCGGGATCCCAGTATTTGCGGCATCCCGCAAAATTTTAAATAAATAATTGGCAAATAAGCGTGCGTGTGCGGTTAATTTCTGTATTAAAATAAATCGCTAATTATCACAATATTGAACAAAAAAGTACCTTCAGCCTTCTTGGATCTCAAAAAAAGGTGAACTTCTAAAGTGCCTCAAAAATCATAGTACATTTTTAACGAAAAAAGTTTAACAATTATTTAAAAAATAACTTCTCCGTTATGCGGTTCATTAACAAACTAAACAGTCGTCCCCTTGGTCGACTTCATTTATGTGCGGGATTGATCCCGCAAAAATGCTGCGGGAGCCAGGGATTTCGGGATCCCGCGATCCCGGTATTGCATGCCCTAAACACCACCTAAAACAAATCGATCAGTAAAGCTAAAAGTACTCACATTTTCAAAATTTTAAAATTAACATCAGTATAATCCCTTGACGAGGAATCACCCACAAATTTTAAACTTGATTACTATAATTGAAGAAAAGAAAAGTTAACATAACGACCCATTGACCCAGTTTCTTTATATCCGCTACATGCGCTGTGTGGTGTAGGTTATCTCAGTACAAAGGCGTTGTCCTTGTACTTGTTAAAAATTTAATTCCTTTTTACAGTTTCTACAGTTTCCTTTCGGGGCGATAAGTGATAAACGTTGCTCAAGACGACTTCCATTGGCAACGTCGACGAAAGCATAACATTCCATTTTTTAAGGAGCTTGCGATTTTTCTTCATCCCCAGCGTTTTTTGTAAACAGCATGCGTTTTTGTATTAGCCAACTAGCGTCTTGGTTATGGTACCACTCAGAGTAAATTAGAAAATTTCCATAAAGAAGATATCCAGCCGACATCGACAAAAATAGTGCAGATATCCCGGAATTCAAAACCACTACGTAAAAATCTTCCCGAAAGTCGATTTTCAGAGATTAAACTTACGTGCATGTAAAATTCCATCCACCTGGAGGACAACGGTTTGCTACAGTTGCAGCAATTAAATAGTTATTTACATAAAAGTCCGGAAAATGACACATTACACTGGTGAGGAAATATTGACGTGCGATGCTCCTTTGTTGTACCTAAATAAATAAAGCACGTAATTAAATTTACGTTACAATATACAACCAATTAAGAATTTAGGAAAATTAAAAGTGTAACACGTCTTTCTTAAGCTAGCATTACACTTGTCAATTTCTTCATGAATTAATTCATGAAGTCACTTCATGAAGAAATTGTATAATGTAATACACCAACTTTGACGTCCAATAAATTCACGAAGAACTTTGTGAATTTCTTCACGAAATTAAAACATGTTCTATTTTTCGCCAATTTTACCGTGAAGTTCAGTGCTACCAACCAACAAATTTTTGTTTATATCAGAGAGAGTGAGGTTATGACTATATGTTTATGTTTACATTTTACCCGAAAAAATGTCTAATAAAAACGAGAAGAGTAGTTGTGGAAAGGTAAGCAAATAAATGATTACAAAACATTTTACAACTGTAACCTATTTTTTTTATTGGGATGGCACCACTGCTCCAAGATTTGTCAAAAACTTCACCAATTGATTCACAGATGTAAAAACCAAACCCTGTCGTGAAGAAATTGACGACAATAAATTCGTGAATTAATTCATGAATAAATTGACAAGTGTAATGCTAGCTTTATTAAACAAGTCAACGATTACCCAACATTGCAAGCAATTTTAACTTCAAATAAATTGTCGCTGAAGATATACGTATACGTACAGGAATTTTGAAAAATAGCTAAGGTACCCTCACTACCCAAAAAATTTAATACCTTGGCCTGCTTGACCTGCGTTCAATTAGTGTCTTGCCAGTATGTATGTAAAGTTTTTGAAAAGTCATTGTCCAGCCTACAGGAAAATTGTTCAGTATTCTCCCCGATAATAAGTGTTTAGTACAAAGTTGTGAAACAGCGCTGATTTGCAAAATTACATCTTGAGACTACTTTTCGCGGGCATCATCAGACATTCCACTCTGTTATTAATTCTTCATTATGTAGTTAAATGGTACAGCGCTGGGCTATAAAGCCGGAGGTCGGGTCTTCGAATCTGGGCTGAGGTAATAATTAAAGTTTCTAAAGGGGAGATATCAGTTAGCTAGTGTCACATGGTGTTAGCTCTTTAGATTGCAATGAAGAGATGTGCGGCGTTTCACAAAGTTCAATTTTGGTCCGCTCCTGTTTATTACATACGTCTTGTAATGTGCTTTATTCAATTTAAATTAAACGTCAATATGTAGGTAATCTACATTTTATTCAACTCTATACAGTAATTAAAATTCTATATAGACAAAAAACTGTGTTCCTGCTGCCTACTATTCCGTACAGCACTTGGCTCCAGATTTCTCGCTAAAAAAGAAACAAACTGTATTTTTATGCGGATAATGTAAATGATATTGTACATATGTACATAATACGATTTATAAATGTCACTTAATAAAGCCGGACTAATTCTATAAGACATTATATAATAGCAAAAAATAGTACTTACGCCTTAGCTACGACAAGAATCAAACCCACGAATTTCATTTTTAAGCTGTAGTATTGCGAATGCTCTACTTGATAATAATATCGTCGAATGTCCATTCTTTTATACTAATGCTTAGTCTTTCCCCCTCCCAGTAATTTTACTCTGCCGAATAAATTTTATGAATATCAACTCACCTCAAGTAGTGAGATTATTTCAAAAATAGACATTTATCGTCAACTTATGCGCAAAACCGAAAACGCTCAGTAATAATTTTAATAATTATCTATCTGAAAAACAAAATATGAATTGTTTTGGCTTTTATTACGACACATTTATCAGGAAGTTCAGTCCAGAAATCTGTTAAAGATTGCGTATTAAAATTCATTTATGGGTGGTGCTTGTCAAAATCTCTATTAGTTGTTCTTCCAGTGGCAGATTTTCCGGTTTCCCGTCAAACAGAACACGAGTCAAATTCCGATAGTATAAATTGGTATCTCGTTGTGGAGAAAATGGTCGCCGGAAACTGATACTCAAATTTTCTATAAGTAACATAGCATTTTATTTTACTAAACATGACTTGTTAGGCCTAGAATAATTCTTTCTTTTTAATTCAGCAGCATTTCAATATGTTATTTACGGCTTCCGTCCCATTTAAACCTAAGTTGGGTTTAAAGGAAAAGCGCTGACTAATTTCTATACTCGTATACCTATAAGTTGTCAGAATTTAGTTAATTTATGTATAACCAAAGAGTATACATACGTTATATACTCTTTGGTATAACCAAAGAGTATTCGTTATATACTCTTTGGTATAACGTATGTGACCATGCAAAACGGCTGCCTTGTCGACCATATGGACGCAATAAAGGAGTTTTTCATAGTATGTTACATAGTTAGCCTTGAGCAGTTAGGTACATTTTGAGTCTTATCAAAATCAGTCGTCAACAAAATACTTGTAACTTATCTACTCAAAGTAATCGATTTATATAATGTGAACAATAAATCATTACGTGTAATCGTATTCAATAAAATTATTCGTTGGTTGCGAAACAACCTGGTCCTTTATTCGAAGAGTCGGAGATCAATCTAAGATCTCAAACATTGACCCATTCGAGCAACGAGATGATCTACAGAACTTATCGATAACTTTTCAACAACAATCAAGCTGCAATTCAGCTGAGGAAACTTCTGGACATTCGTCGCCCCAGAGTAAAGATAAGCTTTCTTTATTCCTAAGTCTAGCTAGTTGTAGTGTACAAACCTTTCAACTTATTCAACTGCTCGAGTCGTTAGGTTCCTTAAGCTCTAATCAATCGGCACCAAATTCTGTAAACGTGGATTGAAACGTCAACAAACAGTTAAACAAACACAAGGCCACAGGGTCCGGTCCGCGGTGTATAAACGATACATACTAACAAAATTTCTTGTAGCGTATGTAAGAGCGAGCATTATACAAACAAGTTTAAAAAGTCATTATGCAAACATAAAGACGAGAGCGAATTTTCCTCCTAATAATATTAATGCTAGGACCAGGGAAAAATACCGGTAGGCACGAGATCCTTACCCATTCAAATGAGCCGCCTATCGTCGAAATCTATACAGTTTAATGAAAAGTAGCGGAGCGTATACAAATACAAACAAATTTTGAAATGGGCATTAGTTTTACTTTTATTCGAAGTGTCTACATATGAAACTTTTTTAAATGATTTCGTAAATAATATTGCGCATCATTTACATTAGAAATTTCGTTAATTTTGAAACCGGTATTAGTTTTAGCACAGATCTACACATAAAAATGTATATGTATGTGTAGATCTGTGGTTTTAGTTTCATCAAAGTGCCTACATTGATATTTCGTAAATCAGAAAGTTACCATTGCGCATGCGCAAAACAACATTTTGAAAAACGTCGTTAATTTTACTTATATTCGTAGTGTTTGCATATACAGTTTCATTTAAATATCTTCATAAATAAAAAAAGTTAGCATTGTACATGCGTTAATTCAAACTTTTGACACTGCGCATGCGCAAAACCAACAAATATAGGTATGTACGGAATCCTTGGACCAAGCCCTTTCAAATGAGCCCTATATCGCCCAAATCGGTTCAGTAGTGTAGAAGGAGTACGTGTGACGGACGGACGACAAAGTGCAGCCTATAGCGATTTTTCACTTTGACGAAAATACGCTAACAAGTGCCCAAGTTTATTAAATTTGTCAGTAGAGTCGCGAATCTGCGAAATAATTAAAGGAAACCATTGCACGAATTGGTTTGCCAAATAAACCTATTGTGCAGCACTCCGCCAGCCTTGGAAAGAACATACCTATCGAGATTTTAAGCACTTTGACTATCAGTTATTCGACCGCGACTTAAGAACTGTCGATTAGAACACAATTTACAATCTTCCTAGCATAGATGATAAAGTGCAGTTCTTTACTGTAAATACTTATTATACATTTACTAGATGTTTATGCTCCAGTGAAAACATCAAAATTTATAAAACCATTCGTTCCTTGGTTAACGGATATCTTGAAGATTATGATTTCACTAAGAAATAAAGCACTTCAACGCTTTAAACGCAGTGGACGTCCTAGTCATTGGGAACATTATAAAACTCTGCGTAACCTAAAGGCGGATCCACATTGGTAAATATTTGCGTTGTGTGTTTAATTCGACACAAATAAGCCCGTGTGCGCCGAAAATTTTGTCTATGTGGACTGTGCGCCACACGAAAACGGTCGCAAATAATTTCGTAACGAACAACGCACGCTATCCACTATGCTGTCGGTTTTCCAGTCATTTCAAAGAGATTTGCGCTGAAAAGTAGTTTCAATGTGAACTTGATTGCTTTTAGCCCAGTCAAATTATCATAATACCTTGCATCAGATGTGTCACTTCTATTTTTTTTAATTGTTAGGCTGAGTATGGATGTCAAAAATCCAAGTTTTCGACATCCAAAAACCTGTGCGAGCAACGCACCACTCGAAAATACGCCATTTTTTCTATTATCTTTAGGTTTTGGGTAGTTTTAGTTCTGAAGGACAGATTTTAAAGCAATTACTGTCGTATACTTTTTTAAACTAGACAAAATTTGTGACAATTCAAGCCCTTAACCGGCTCTGTAAGTCTAATAGTTTTGGAGATACAGCGTTTCAAAAATTCGTAAATTCTTCAGTTTTAATCAAATTTGCCTTTTTTTCGCATAAAAACCTCATGAACATTTTTATAATTTTGTTCGTTTGGGGGGACTTTGTGGTGAGGAGTCTCCAAAAATCCGCACAGAAGGAGCTAGAATGCTGATATCCTCTGGATCCTCAGCTTCTCCCATGATAAGAAAGATCTTCTTCTTCAGCAAGATCCACTATCTGTTGCATGGATTGCGAAATCTGTGAATTTTTTCCTTTTATCTGACCTTGCTCGACAAGGGACACCGACTATAAAAGATCTGTGACAGTAGCAGAAAGCCTTACTCACAACACTATGGTTTGAATAAGGCATCATAATACATAGCCCAGGCACTTTAGGTTAAAAAATAGACAAAATTAGTAATTAGCTGATTTTTGGCGAGTTGTTAGTGTGTGATAAGGTAAGTATTTTCTGAAAGTTCCCCTCACTTCCTCCGCTTGCTTCGCCCGGTAGAGCGATAAAAAAGACTTAAGTGATGCGAATACAATAATATCGCTATTTCGCTCCATCTCTGGCACAGTTTTGGTGGTTGTGGACTTAAATTGTTCACCATAGTAGTGGTTATGCTAAAGAATAACCACTACAACAATTCATGTCATTTTAAACTGTTTTCTTTAAAATGTTTGGTAATTTTTGTGACGTTACAATGAAACATAAAAAAATTGCAGTGTCTAGCACGCATACCACTCGCACACCTGCGCATGCGCAATTCTACCCATTTATATCTAAGAATATGTGTACCGAATTTGAGTCCAATCAGTTCAGCCCTTTAGCCTGAAATGAGAGTACCTACACACGGACCGACAAACCGACATCATTGAGATTTTGTTGGATGTTTGATTCCTGGATCATGGTGCTTCAAAATCTGTATTTCCGTCAAAGGAGTGGGGGTCATTTTTGACCCCACTGAAATACTTCCCTTACTAACGTGCGGGTGGTAAAACCGAGGTAAACCACTGAACATCGCGTCGTAAACGGCACATTAAAAATCAGAGGCAAGGAGACACGAGTAGACCCTTATCAGCTTTTTATGAGAATCACTTGCATGTCGAAATGTCCAGAGGAGAGGACCATAAGGATTATCTCGTATGAGCTCGCTCCGAAGCCGCACCATCGTTGTTTGATGGGCCTTACATGAGGAAAACAACAAAGTCAGTGTTAGAGGAAACTATAGAGAAGTATGATGCATACACTGATAGTTCGCCGACCTACAAAGTGCACTACGTTGTCGACGTTCCTTCTCAGGAAAGGGGTTTGGTCGCGACGTAGCTAACCGGGATTTGCCATTCGTATGTCCAATGCGTACTGACACACGATGGTCAGTCCACAGTGGTAGTATTTGACGGGTATGGCTTATCAACGAGCACGAAACGCCTGTGAGGAAAGCAGAAGATCTCGCTGTGTGGACTTGCAGATAAAGCAAAACGCCGACACCTTGATTGTGACGGTCGTTATCGAGGCGACCACTTTAGACCAAGTTGCCGTAGTTGCGATGGATGCGAATTTATTCGAAAATGTTTTTCGTTAAACCAACTACTAAAAAGATAAAGGTTCTTACCATACAAGACGTTAAAAAAAATTCACCGCACAAAAGAAAAGGAAAAGGTCGTCGTGTTTCATTCCTCCGACACCCCTGACTACAGGGACGCCGGAGGCGGGCTGTTCAGGTTTGCCAGAGCTTCTTCAGCCAGAGAACGGGAATGTAAGTATACAGGGTGATTCCTATAGTACCTGCCACCGTTTGGGAGCGTATAGGGGGTGCCTAGGGGAAGTCTTTTCATATAGGACACTTGGGGTCGGAAATCCAAAATAAGGGCGCCAGAACCAAATTTATCTTCTGGAATTTCACGCCTGTATGTAGGCAACCCAACCGACCGACGTTTAGCGCGGAGCGATGCAGAGCGAGTTAGCGCGAGGAAGCGACATGGGAGGGAAGGAGGGAAAACGACAGTCAAAAGCAATAAC